TGGTGTGTACAAGGACTCGATTTCACGATAAATGCGTTCTCGAGTTTCGCATCAGCCCTGGAAACATCGTAGAAGCATCCATATCGGCGATGCAAGGATAACACTTGCGCCACTAACGAGTCGAGCGACCGGAAATCCGAGGGAAGAACCGAGGGAGGATTAGAATGCAGATCAGAACCGGAGGATCTACACAAACCCTCCGCTTTTATAACAGTTTCCCGGAACGGTCTCTCTACATCTTCATAAATTTCTTTCGAAAATTCTGAAGATCAAGGCTCACTTTAATCTTTTGGTTTTTGGGAGATTGATACTTCAGAAAGAATTCGGGAAAATAAGGATCGTATTTATTTCGTCTGATCGACTGGAGGATAAACTTTAAATTATTTAAATACGAGTGTTAATTTTCAAAATACCCTCTCTTTCTCTGTGTATGTGTGCGTGTTCGTGTATACATGCGCAACAATCTGGGGCAAATGTCACATGATCGATGGGAATTAAATCTGATGCTGACGAGAATGTTGCGCGGAGGAATGCGATGCGATTACAAAGCGGGCATTTCTGATAATTTCATTCTCTCTTTTGAATATGCATTCTCACTGCATACCTCTAAGTTAATCAAAGTGACTCGCGCACAGCACATTAAAGTTTAATTATTATACGATATAAATCAGCACGATGCAATAAAAGTTAAATAAAAAAAATCAGAATAAATACACATGACACATATGTCAGTCGACATACTGCTGCGTTGAATGTAAAAATTTAAAAACATGCATGAGAGATAAAAAATATCGTACAATCAGATATTGTTTTAAATAAATGTGAACATTTATACAAATATTTTCTCTAGTATTATCAGAATAAAAAACAAACGTAACATGCACGTAACATACACATATACGTTTATTTATTGATAAGTGATTTTCTCAAAAACCAAACCGACGAAATCTCTATAAAAGTAAAAATAAAAAAATTGATGAAATTGTGCATTATGTAGCGTGATATTAACATACTACTACAATCTAAAAATTTACAAAGAATGGATTTAACCAGTTGATTTCTGAGAGACTTAAATAGCGTTATTAGCTATGATCAGTGGCGTCGTAAAAGTTCGATTATATTTTCCCAATCTAAATATATTTTCTCATTGCGAATGATGCAGGAATCCGGCGGCAGACACTGCGACACTCGAGCCACGTTATCATCCCCTTCGCCATCCCCTTCGCATGCAACCTGGGATTTACCACGCGCAACGCACGCGATCGGCTAAGCTGTCGAACAAATCGCGAATCGTCATAAAGCAGCTCGGAAGTTGCTTCTCGATATCGAGCTTTATCGAGGTTTCATCCTCGGCCTCGGCATTGAGGAGACCGAAATACGATTTCTCCCTCCGTGCGTGCCCCGCAAAGCACGTCCGGACCGATGACGACGGGAATCCTGGCGCTCGTCTGTTCCCGAAGCGGGTGAGAAAGGGATGCCGCCGTAAACAGGGAGGGGATTAATTAAGCTCTTTTACGCGTGGAATTATTCGCGCTATCGACGAGCGTTGTTTTATCGGAAAATCCCACGCGAACCCACGCTACGGAAATTAATTATCCCGCGTTGTCGTTCTTATTGCTGTTCACTTTGTAAGGGAAACGCAGGCGAAGGGGGAGAGGCAGAGGGAGGGGGAGGAAGCTCGCGAGCCGTACATTCGTACAGCGGATATTTAAAGTGATGTTAAAGCTCGCGTATATATACCTCTACGTTACAGTCGTAGAAGCCACGAGTGAGAGTGTAGCAGCTTCAAGCGATCTACGATACAAAGCCATGACGAAAAAACTGACGTGCGGAATGAACAGAGGGCTGGCTTTTGTCTACGAGCTCTTTGTACAACTTGGAATCGATTTCTCCCCATCGAAAATATCGGGAGAGTCGATCGTCCCAAATCGTCAATTTTGTACACTTGAACTCATATTCCTGAATCCTCTTTTCGACAAAAGAGGATCCAGAATATGGACCTAAATATCAACTAATCCTGCAATTAAAAGCTGGTCGGAGTAAAGCTTCTTTCGAGAACGGAATAAAACGGAGTAAGCTCCACTATCTAAAACATCATACTT